AACTGAACTCCGCCAGTTTCTATTATATTACGGACCTTTTTTGTTGCATTCTGTTTTATCTGAAGAAAGATATTTAAATTTTATGAAATTATCAATAGCAACTAGGATATTATTAGAAAAAAAGAATAGTCAAATAAATAACGCATTTGCTCAAAATCTTTTGCTGAGTTTTGTACAAGATATCCCTTCCCTGTACGATTTAAGTTTCCTAACATCTAATTTCCATTATTTACTTCATATCAATACGGACGCTAATAAATATGGAAGCTTGGAAAGCATTAGCGCATTCAGGTTTGAAAACCATCTTCAAAAAATAAAGAAGCAAGTAAAAAAATGTAATAATGTAACTGCCCAGCTCTATAATAGGCAAGTAGAAAAGAGTTTAACATTAAAACGAATAAAAACAGTTTCAGATATATATTTTAAGCATCCTGATACCAGCTTTGAGTGCTATAAATCTGTGAAAACCCCAAATTTCTTATTTTCAATAGAGAAACCGAATAATTTCTGTTTTGTTGGCGAAAATATTATAAAAATAACTAGAATAAGTAAAGTTGATGATTTTCCTAATTTTAAAGGAAAAATATTAAAAAATTTGAAAGCACTTTTTAACCAACCGATTGCTTCAAATAAACTAAAAATTTATAAAGTAAACGAATTGACTGAAGGGGACGAAATTTCTTTCTCTCTTAAAGAAATTTTGAACAAGGCAATAATTCTGGAAAATAAAATAAGCCCTTCGTTTGTTATTTTCCCATTTTTAGCATAATGGCTGCTCAAACGTTTGGTAAGACTTCTACAATTATTTAAAGAACTTCATTGAATTAAAATAATTTCTACACTACTTTCGTTTCAGATTCCCTTCAAAATGAAAAACATATTCAATATATCGAACTGTCAAATATTTCACAAGGTATACATTTCTTTACATCTTATACTTTATAAAATATACGCTCTCCATCAGATAACTGGACAGCCCAAAAAAGGAAATTATTTTCTTAATTTTCACAAGGTTTTAATTGTGTCCGGTTATTCGGAGGAGCCTCTGTATGTTCATAGTTATATTTTTATTATATTTTATTTATGAATTAAAATACTTTTGTTTTAGATTCTCTGCAAAATGAAGATCAGATTCAATACATCGAACTATCAAATGTTTCACAGGGTATACATTCATTTACTTCTTATGCTTTCACTTAATACATATACTGTTACTCACAAATATGAGCGTACGGCTCTTTTTTGTTAATATTCGCAAGGTTTTTGTTAAT